ATATGGAAGCTGAAGTTCACAGAAAGTAAGAGTGCCCAATACCACATAATGGGTGCATGGATCAAGTGTGGCTATCCTTATGGCTAAACTCCATACCCTTAGCCACCGCTGAGACCCTAGTCCCTCCTTAGTAATATCCATGACTCAAGGTCAGCCTCTTAAACTGGGAGTGCTCAGAACAAAGCCCAACAAGAAGACAGAGCTGGATACTTCCTGCCCCATGCTGAGGATACAGAGTGATCTCCTTGGATAAGCCAAGAGCTCTTTACTGAGGAGGCTGAGGCTGGAAGCCACTCTACCTTCATCTCATAGGGACTAGGCTCTGCCTTTGCTCAAAAGCAAGAAGTTCATTGTTATACATTTTTTTAGTATTTAAAGAAAGTAGGAAAAGTTACTGTCTCCTGGGGCTGGGGAGATGGCTCAGTCAGTAAAGCACATACCTTGCAAACCTGAGCATCCTAACTTGATCCCCAGAACGCACATACAAAAAGGTAGGCATGGTGCTGCACACTTGTAATTCTAGTACAGGGAGGCAGAAACAGGCAGATCTGTGGGGATACCTGGCAAGTTCCAGGCCAGTGAAGATGTTCCATCCTCCTAGCCCAGAAGTGGAGGATGGTGCGTTGGTAATGACAGCTGAGCTGGACCTCTGCCTCCACATACACATGCATGCACATTCACCTGCACACACATGTGAACCTGCACACACACACACACACACACACACACACACACACACATACAAGTCCTCTCCTGTATAGGAATATGGAAGGATGATGGGCAAATATTGGCAAAACCTCCACATACACATGCATGCACATTCACCTGCACACACATGTGAACCTGCACACACACACACACACACACACACACACACACACACATACAAGTCCTCTCCTGTATAGGAATATGGAAGGATGATGGGCAAATATTGGCAAAATGTTAGGCCCTCAGTGAACTGTGATACAGGTGGGCCTTGCAGTGGCATGCTTGGCTTTGCACAGCCTTGGCTCAGTATCTTCCCCAAACAAAGTGTCTCTAAATCTCTCTACAAGTTTTTAAGAGCTTTTTTAGATACGGCTGAATCCTTCAAAATAAAAAAGCACCAGATGTGGCAATTAGCCTGTTGGGTTTTTACAAAATATTGCAAGTTTCTTAAACCATCAGTGACATGCTCAAGGACTCTGTCTGGAATGTTGTACCTTGGCAGGGCTTTTGAGTTTGTTTGAAGCTGGGATTGAACTGAGTGAGTTAAACTGGAAGCGCTCAGCCATCCCTAAAGAGAGAGGAATGAAGGTGCCCTTGTTACTGGTGACCTCAGCACAGGGCCCCTGGGCTAGGAACAAGCAAGAGTGTTATTTCTTTGAAGAGACATCTTGACAACTCAAGTTCATCTGGCTGCTGAACCAAAGGCAGCTTTGATCTGCTCCCAGTTTCCCTGCTGGGACAGGATTAGGGATGCTTCCAGAGGAGAGCTGAGCTGGGTGTCCCATGTGCTCACATAGTGCACAGGCTGCAGTTGGAGGGAGGGACAGGAGGAAAGTTTGACAAGAAAGAGGAGAAAGGATACCCAAAATTCTTTCTGTTATGAGCTAAAGTTTGTTTGGGTTTTGGGGATTCTGAAAGACCAGGAGGTGGACTAGCTTGAGGTTTTAAAGTTGACAGCTGGGTGTTTAAGTTCTTGAGTCCTGGGTACAATGGGAGTCCTTAGCGACACCCTCAACACTGGAAGCTAAAGGTTTGGGAATCTCCAGCAATGGCCAGCAGCCTGCTGGTTTATTGCTAGGCTGTCTGTGATGGATGTAGGACCACAATAGAAGGATGTATGTTTCATCCTTTCTTGACTCAATGTGGAACTGCAGCAGCCCCCAGCAGGCAGAGTTAACTGCCTGGTGATTCTTAACTTAGAGTCTTACACATTAAATCTACCCCAGTGAGTGTCAAGCAGACACACTCCCTTGAGTGGCAGGGACTGAGTGGCAGACAGCACCTAGGACTTGGATACCTATTACTCACCTTGTTTCAGGCACAGGTAAAGTCCCACTGTTTTAGTTCCTACTATGTGTAGAGGGAAGCTGGGTACCCAGAGACTCCACAGCTCTTAAAAGTTATTTCGGTTCATAAAGATCTTGCAAAATGCTGTGGCTTGAACAAAACCTATTTGGGGGAGGAGGGGTAGAGCCCAGGAGCACTGTGTGATCTCAATAGACTTGAGGGCAGAAGGCAGGCGTTGAAGTGCCAACCAGTGCTGGTCTTTGCATGAGCTGAATCTTAAAGGGGGCCAGAGGGCCCTGGGGCCTTGGAGGAGGGCTCCATCCAGTGCAGGGTGGCAGGCTGATTCAGTCTCTTACTCATGCTGATAATGAGCACTTTGTCCTCAGCTACAAAGGAAGATGGTGGGGACAATATAGCTTTTAGTGATTAATGACTGAACTTCACCAAGTGGTCAACATTACCAGAGGACTTAAAGCATTTAGAAATAATTACATGTGGTATATTTACTTGTGGTTTGTAAAAAAAAATGGGAACAATGGTGTCTCTCATTGCTGTTTTTCCTAACAAATAGGCAGAATCTGTACATGAGAGAAGTTTAAAAAGACCAAGAGGACTTGCTCACATTTTATTTCTTTCACTGGATATTTTTATTTTGGCATAGACGGAGCTTAGAAGAGTTGCAAGCACAGTAAAAGGAATTTCTATACATGTTTTACTCACAAGCCGTAGATATTACCGTTACTGTATCTGCGCCCTTCCTCTCCCTCTCCCGTCTGTCTTTCTCTGTTTCAGTCTCTCTCTATCTCTCCCCTTTCCTCCCTTTCCTTCTCCTCCTCTTCTTCCTCTTCCTTCCTCCCTCTCTTTTCCTCCAGTCCCCTCCTGTTTTTTTGGATTAAATGTTGACATACTGCCTTCAAATATTTCAAAGCACATTTCTTAAAAATAAAAATATCCTCTTGTAATTAAAGTCTGAATATCTAAATGAGAAAATTAACATTAATGTGGTATCATTAGCTGCTTTGGAGATTGACTATAAATTTTGTCCTTTTTCCTAATAATACTCTTTAAAGGAAAAGAAATACCTTCATGTGTCCTTTGGACCACTCCCACTTCTTTGTCTTTAAGACCAGGACACTTTGACAAGGACAGACCAGTTACTTCAGATCATGTCCCCTAGACATATTTTATTGAATTTTTGTGTATTTCATACATAAAATCATCTTTATACCCCCTGCCCCTTTGGCCCCCTCCCACAACCCCCCACTGGAGTTCATACATTCTGTCATTTGTGTTAAGGCCTTTCATGTAAAGTTAATGCCCCAAGACGTCCTTCAGTGCAAGTTCATCCACTGGGATCTAGTCAGCCTATCTAGAGTCCCTCCCTTTAAGAAGATCAGCTCATTCTCACCCAGCAGTAATCAGCTGCCAATAATTCTTCAACTAAGATTGGGGCCTGCTTTTCCTTTCCACAGTTCTGTGCTGGGTTTTTGTCTGTTTAAGTTTTCATGGGTCTTGTGTATACTGACACCATTGTTGTAGGTTTTTATGAGAAGGGTCCCACAGGTGCCTGTAAAACTGTTTCCATTTTGAAATGCACCTCCTCCCTGGCTCTTAAAATCTTTCTGCCCCTTCTTCCGCAATCATCCCTGAGCCCTGGATGGGTGGATTTTAGTACAGGAGTCCTATCCAAGGACCTACACTCTGAAGACTCTTATTCTCTGCGTTTTAGCCATTTGTGACCTTTTGCTTTCCCAGCCCTTTGTTACATGGGGGAGCTTCGTTGATGAGAGTTGAAAGATGCATTAGTGTCCTCTTCATCCCTGTTCTATGTTCGTGAACTTTAGCTGTAGAGGTTGCAGCCTAGATGTGCCACTTAGACTTGGGCGGTTCACAGACCGTGTCTGTGTGTGACCAGTGTGGAACTCGATAATTAGTTCTGTCTCTTGAAAAAGAAGCTTCTTTGATAGATGGTGACTGGAGTACTTGTCTATAATTTTAAGGATCCATATTTTACACATGGTAAGAAATTACATTTGTCTAGAGATGTGACAGCCTTGGAGTTTTCTCTAAGATCTATGACCTCTCCAGCTATGTATATATGATTAGGTTTTCATATTTTACTGAATTGTCAGTACATGTATTTGCCTGTTACTCTATTTCCTTTTCCTTTTTGAAATATTATTTTATTTTTAATTACATGTATAGCTGTGTATCTGTGTGTGAGTATGTGAACATGTGAGTGCAGTACCCCAAAGCCCAACAAAGAGCCGTAGATCCCTGGAACTGTAGTTACAGATGGTTGTGAGCCCAGTGTAGGTGCAGGAAAACAAACTTGTGTCCTCTGGAAGAGCAGCAAGTGCTTTTAACCCCTGAGCCATCTCTCTAGGCTCCTCTCTATTTTCTTGATTGTTTTCTTCAGGGGTGTAGTCTCTCTACTGAGGAGTGTTAATCCTTTGTAATTTGTTATAAATGTTTTCTCCCACTTGCCATTTTTCCTTTGACTTTATGAGGGTTTTTAACTCAATTTTAAAATTATATGAGCAAATTTACTACTTTTGAATGCATCTAGAGTTTTGAGCCATAAGTAGAAAATGCCCTATACCTGGTTATAGAGGAATTCGTTCATGTTTTCCTTACTAGTTAGATGATTCTGTTTTCTTATATTTAAATCACTGATTTGTTTGAAGTTTAATCTCTCTCTCTCTCTCTCTCTCTCTCTCTCTCTCTCTGTGTGTGTGTGTGTGTGTGTGTGTATGTGTGTGTGTGTGCATTCATCTATATGTGTTCTTGTGGGGGTCAGAGGTTGACTTCAAGTATCTTCCTCTATGGCTATCCTTATTTTTTGAGATGGGGCTCTCATTGAACCTGTCACCCACCATTTCAGCTAGACTGGCTAGCCAGAGAGCCTCTGAGATCCTCCTCTCTCCACCCCTCAGTGCTAGGTACAGACAAGCACTGCTGGGCCCAACTTTTACATGTGCTTTGGTGATCAAACTCAGATCCTCATGCTCACAGCAGGTACTTTACCCATTGACTCATCTCTCTAGTTCTGAAGCTTAATCATATTGTGTTGTAAGATACAAGACTTACTTTATTTTAGTTACAAATGTCTACCCACCTGTCCAGCAACATTTATTAAAATCTGTGTTTGCCTCATGATTCGAGATGTTACCTGTACCTCAAACTTAGCATCTACATTCTGGGGTTCATTTGTGACTTTTAATCTATTCTGTGGGTCTGTTTTCCTATGCTAGTGGCATGTAATGCAATTTTAACTCATGTAAGTTGTATCTCATAGGCAAAATGCCTATGCATCATGTTGAACTGTGTGAAGTAGTAACCATTCCCTGACTTGGTCTATAGAATTCATTTTACGTATTTGTGTGTGTGTGTGTGTGTGTGTGGTTGTGTGTGTCCATGGGTGAACGTACACATGTGTGTGCTGGGTACATGTGGCGGCCAGAGGTCAATGTCAGATATTTTCTTCAAGCACGCTCCATTTTATTTATTTATTTCTGAGCTCTCACTATATCTCGAGCTCCATGATTTGATTAGACTGGCCAGCCAGACAGTGCTGGGATTACAGGCATGTGCCAACATGCCCTGCTTTTTTGACATGAATTATGAGGAGTCTAGATCCTAATGTGTGCATGGCAAGCACTTTACCCACTAACCATCTCCCCAACTTCCAGTTTTACATATTTCAATCTAATATGCCTGTAATTTGCAGGCCATCCACAGCTACTGACTGGTTGTGGAAGGACGCTAAGGGTTCTGGGCTTGTAGAATTCAGAAGTTCTGCCCCTTAGTTCTAGATTACTTCCATATGTAACAGCATCAGAGCAGTCTGTCACTGATCTGTCTTTGTTTGTTCTCTCTCTTAGTGACAGAGGGTCGCGGGGTCACAGACAATATCCAGAGATTCTCCTCCTTGCCGCCATACCTGCCTGTGAGCTTCCGTGTCTTCAAAGCCGAGACCTCGTTCTTCCTCAAGGAGGCTAATCCTGACCCACTGCGGAATGCCAGCCTGCAGTCTAGGGTGGAGTCTTTCTTCACCTACAAGGCCAGGCAGCCCCCAGTATTAAATGCCACTTATGGACCTTATTCTGCAGAAAAGGTTGTACCTCTGGACTTGATGCTGAACCCAAACTTTTTAGGCCCAACCAATAAGTTTCCTTTTGATTGGAGGCTAAAAGCCCACATCCTTCGGGAAAAGGTCTACCTGAGCCGGCCCAAAGTGCAGGTGCTTTTCCACATCGTGGGCCGAGACTGGGGTGACCACAGGGCGGCCGAGAAGCTTCCCTGCCTGCGGGTCTTTGCTTTCCGTGAAACCAGGGAGGTGCGGGGCAGCTGTCGCCTGGATGGGGCCCTGGGACTGTGTGTGGCAGAGCTGGAGCTGCTGCCCAGCTGGTTCAGTCCCCCGTTGCTTGTGGCCGGGCGCAGGAGGCCCTCAGAGCAGCCAGAGGGGAGTCCTGTGGAACTCTACTACACCGTGCAGCCAGGGGATGAGCGTGGGGACTGTGCTGGAGGTGACAACAGGAAGGACAACGCCATCCGTCCAGGAAAGGATGGACAGGACAGGACGTCCCACCTACAGAGGATTGGCACTGTTGGGCTTTATCAGACCCAGGACAGCACCCAGCTCCGCAGCCTGCACCTGGATGGCAATGTGGTCATCTGGCTGCCCTCCCAGCCAGTCAAACAGGGGGACATAGTCACTGCCTCCGTCACCATCTCCAGCAACTCCACCGTGGATCTCTTCATTCTGAGGTAGGTGCCCAGCCTGGCCTCTGGCCACCAGTGATGTCTAGAGAGGTCTGACTGCATGTGGGAGGTCAGGGTTACTGTCACTTCATGAGGGACCTGCTTCCTAATGTGGAGGTGCACCTTGAAGCTGTGTGTTGTGAACAATGGAGAGGAGGGAGTAATACTGGCTGGGTGGTGGGTTCTTTTTCTTTGTCAGTTAAAAAAGTTAATAGACAAGACACGGTGTGTATGGAAGTGTTTCTTGGCAAGTGTTACAGATATCGAGGGTAAAGGAGGTTCCCAGAGGTGGGGAGACCACCACTCTCAGGGGGGTTGAGTTTTTATTTGGGATTAGAGTGCCCTGTGTGATTATTTCTTCCCTTTCTCTGTTGGCCTAAGGTGTCTATATGCCCTGTATACTACATGGACTGGGTCTCTGTCTCTGTCCATCAACAACACATAACTGAATGTTGTGTTGACTGGCTGGGGTGAGAGTGGGCACTCTCACCGTCTCTGCTTTTGTGATGTAACAGGTACAGAGACCCACAGCATGTGAGGAGGAGTGGCCTACTTTTAGAAGAAATGGAAACACTGTGGGGACAAAAAGCCACAAGGGGATGGAAACTTTTTAGGGACAGAGCACCATAAAAACCCAAACTGCGGTTCTTATGCCCCCCTTCTCCCACCCTGGGGCCTCTTGGCCTGAGGAGAGCAGAGCTTAGAAGGAACAAGGCTGCACCACTAGGGGCTCTGGTCTTGAGTTTTCGTGAGATTGGACAGGGAGGCGATTCTGTCCTTTGACTTCATTTGCAGCTCTGCCAATTCTGGTTATGTGATGAACTGACACATCCAAGGACTTTAAAGAAGTCATTGGGCCAGGCATGGTGGCACACACCTTTAATCCCAACAGATGCAGGTGGATCTCTGTGAGACTGAGTCCAGCCTTGTTTACATAGGGAGTTCTAGATCAGCTGGGGCTACAGGGAGACCCTATCCCAAAACACAAAATGAGAGAGAGAGAGAGAGAGAGAGAGAGAGAGAGAGAGAGAGAGAAAAGGTACATTCACAAGATCATCCTGTTTCCCAGGCTGTGTCTGTGAAAGGAGCTGAGGGTATGTGTGGGTTAAATGTTCCATCACTGTGGTTCAAGAGGCATGCCTAACAAAAGTCAGCTGAGGGGCTGCATCTGTGGCAAACAGCCATAGAAGAGTTCGACTCCTTTGCTGCAGTTGACTTAGCAGAGAGTGCCAGGGAAGTGTTCATGGGGTTGCTGCTTGCTGTGAGGATTCTAGAATGTGTTTGAGGAGCACCTGCTTCTGAAGACAATTAGGGGAAACACACAAGGCAGATCCTCTTCAATGGGCGCAGGATTTTCACAAGAATAAAAAGAGTTGTCATTTGAGATTTGTCTTCAAAGTATAAATGAAAAAAATGAAATAGTCAAAATCAAGTTTTTTATTATACTTAAGAAAGTCTTAGGGGCTAGAGAGATGGCTCAGTGGTTAAGAATAGTGTTTGTTCTTGCAGAAGACCTGGGGTCAAATCCCAGCACCCACATGGCAGCTAACAACTAACTGTCCATAACTCCAGTCCCAGGGGATCCAACAGTCTCTTCTGACCTCCGTGGGCATCGCACGACAAGGGTGCACTTACCTACATGCAGGCAATACACACATATACATTAAAAAATTAAAAATAATAAGTGAAAATTTAGAAAAGAAAGTATTAGATTATAATTGTTGTAGCTACATTTTGATTCTTTGTAGGAAAAAAAGCCCAACCCATATACTCCTGTGCTGAGGAGTTGCTTGGAAAAATGTGTTTGCCAAACAGAATCCCAGCCTGCTAACTACATTGTTCTGTTGTTAATTCTATCAGTGAGAATGGTGACTTTTAAAGTTTGGGTTTTGTGTGTGTTGCATAAAGAATTCAAATTCAAAGATTTGAGTAAATCAATCCCTCCCTCCCTTTCTCCCTCTCTCTTTCTCTCTTTCTTTCTCTCTCTTTCTTTCTTTCTTTCTTTCTTTCCTTCCTTCTTTCTTCTTGACAGGGTCTCCCTGTAGCTCCAGCTGGCCTGGAACTCACTATGTAGACCAGGCTGGTCTCGAACTCATAGAGATCCTCCTGCCTCTGCCTCCCAAGTGCTGGGATTAAGGGTATGTGCCACCATTACTCTGGGGTTGGATCATTGTTTTCTAAAGTATCTGTCTTTGTCAACATACATTTATTTTTATGGTGTTGGGGGTCAAACCTCAAACACAGAGTCTCATGCATGCAAACCACATTCTCCACCACTGAGCTGCACCTCGACCCCTTCTTAACTTTTGTGAGTGCATTGTTTTGCAGATCCTGATTTTCCATTGCTTTGAGTGTGATTGGAGGACTCTTACAACATCCCTTTTAATGATGTGAAACCCAACGTCTTTTATGGGGTTGAAAAATTTCTCCAGATTGCTCCCTGAGTCCTCTGTGGTCAGCAAGGAACCACCCATGGTGGAGGGGTGGAGAGATTCTTCATTGGCAGTGTCTGTGACTCATTACACCTTATAAACATGAGACCAAGATGGTCAAGATTTAGAGAGTCCGACTTTGATTCCTCCTGGTTTGCAAAGGGAAAGATACTGATCTGGGAGTTCTGAGTTTCATTTTGACTTCACCACTTTGCCTGTTGCTTTCATGTGAGGGTAAATTAAATGCCTGTAGTGCTGACTTTGGAAACTGAGGACAGAAAGACAGGTAGGGGAAGCATTACTAAGGAGTTGTGACTCTTTTATCCTCTACCTTTATGAGCTAGCTTTTCTCTTGAGAAAGCAGAGCTTCTCCCTTCTACAGTGGTGAGTAGGAGACCAACCAGCCTGCAAGCCACCTAGATCTATAGTCCAGAGCAGTCTGGCCACACCAGGACACCTGACCTAGCTGTCAGAGGGGAGATCTGTATTTTTCCTCTTAAAGAATGGTGAGAAATAGCAGTTCTGCAAACAGATGACCTCATTTCTGCTCCTGTCCCTTCCATGCACGGCTGGGGTAACCTGAAGCAAGGTTCCTAACCTCAGCCAGCCTCAATCTCCTCATATTAAAGATAAATCCAATCATATTAACCTTATGTCCATAAGTATGTTATGATTCTGTAAGCTAATACTTATTTGTGAAGTGCTTGTACCAGCATCTGGCACATAAAACTACTGAATGTTACTGACAGGTGTTTAAAACATCCATCAAAAACCCATAGTGTTGAGTTCTGTTCTAGCAGCAAAGTGACTTTGTATTCAGCACTCCTGGCTCCCAGGCTTGTACTCCCAGTTGTATTAATTGCCAGTTCATCCTGGTTTTGTTAGGGAGGGTCATCTTTCTGTAAGGCGGGGGCTTTCGGAGCACAGTGTCTTCTGGAACACTGAGGGTGATAGTGTGGACCTTGGTCCCTTTATGTCCTCATCTGTGGTAGTCACATTCCCCACCTACCAGCTTTCAAATCACAAATCACAGTCCTCGTGGGAGGAGGTATGTCTCTCTCTTCCCACAAGCACAGGCCACATGCCTCGTATCTTTATCCTTGACCTTAAATTTGAAGCAAAGTTGCCAACACTGCAGAGGAACTCTTCATCAGAAAATCCAAGCCCAGATGACCCCAAGCACAGATGTGGATCAGAGTGCTTATGTTCAGAGCCCAGTGAGTAGAAGCTAAGGCACTTTCTGAAGACACAGCTTTGAGATGTCCATTCTCACTCCAAAGACCGAGTTTTACTGTTCAAAAGGGGGCATGGAAGGGATCCGTTTTAGAAATGGACCTGAGCTCAGTGGTTAAGAACACTTACTGCCCTTGCAAAGGATCTGGGTTCAGTCCCCAGCACCAACAAGGTGGCTCACAACCACCTATAACTCCAATCCAGGGGATCTGATTTCCCCTTCTGGGCCTCATAGGGTCTGGCATACATGTGGTGCATATAAATTCATGCGATCAAGTACGAATACACATAAATAAGTAAATATATAAATAATCTTAAAGTGGAGAAGGGCTGGGGAGATGGTTCTGTGGTTAATTCTTGCCTAGCCCCCAAGTCGTCTTTCCTAGGTGGGAATTTAAACATCTGTCTTTACTATTTGTATGAATAGTTACCTTCTTCTGATGACTAAACTACGACAAACCATTGTTTGCATTTTCACTGTGCATGTAATATTCCCTTTCATTTAATAACCTTTGTTTCATTAATATGTACACAGCCCATCTGCCAAGTATGGTTCTGCATTATTGAAGGAAATAGCAAAACCCTCCACCTGAGTGGGGCTTCTCAGGAGTGGAAGCGGATAAAGTACCACAGATAAATGCGCTGTAAAATGTGCTAGGAAGAATGGAGAGGAAGAAAGCATCTTAAATAAGGCAGGTCTCACACACTGTGGGAGTGATGGGGGTCCTGCAGCAGTGTGCTAGAATGTTGAAAGTTTGCAGGAACAAAACGAAGGTGGGTGAGGCTGAGACAGGACCGAAGAAGGATCAGTTAATGACGACCAAATAAATAAACAGGCCACATGCTCCCAACACCAAGAAAAGCTTAGTGTTCAAACTCAATATATATTGCCCATTAAGTAGGTAAGGATTCAGAACACCCAGAGATGACGGATGAAGACAGAGAACAAGACACATCGCTTGCATCCTTGATGCCACACAATTATGAGTTTCTCCAGACTGTGGGAGGTTTTCGAAAGCTCTCTCAGCGAGGACCACAAAGTGCCCTCCAATTCAGCCACTAGTTCAGCACAAGCCAACACTTCACAGAAGAAAAGCAGGAACTTCTCTGTCTCCCTTCCTGACCTTCTAATAGTCCTCCAGAAGCAGAGAAACCATTTCTATTATTTATACTGCTGCATCCTGTGCTGGGTTAAGTTTTGTGCAACAGTGTCCAGGACATCAGTCCTAAGGGGTGATTTATTCCCAAGTTAAAGGTGAAATATGGAGCTCGTCCTCCTGACTGGGAAAGAGGGACAAAGAGAGGCCGTTTTAGGACCAGCATTCAGTCCCTCAGAGCCTC